AAGGGTCCAGAGTCATCGTCATCAGGAGCTCTGAGCATATAGAGAGATAGAGAGATAGAGAGAGATACAGAGATAGAGAGATAGATAGAGATAGAGATAGAGAGAGAGAGAGAGAGACAAAGGCGAGAGAGGAGGAAGCAAAGAGAGTTATCAGCGGAGGAGACACTGACGAGTGTTTCAGCAGATCTGAGGTCAAACTCATCTGTTTGGAGACAATTTAATCCCTTTGATTGTTGAATCTCAAGACTTTAAGCTCTGACTTTGTTTAAACAGTTTGAACAGATATGTCCAAACTCAGGCCCGTGGGCCAATTGCGGCCCTCTGAGTCGTTTTATGTGGCCCTTTGCTCCTAAAACTCTTGTCTTCATTGAGGCCCTTTGAGCCTTAAGCTCCATTATACAGTCATGCTAACCCTTGACTTACTGACATTAGTGTTTTGAGTTTGTTGTAGCATTCTAAAGAAAATGCAGCTGTGGTGTGAATCAATAGCTGCGTTTCCACCACAGGAACTTTGGGGTAATTTTCCAGGAATAGCCCCGATGATGCATGTCTCCTCTGCAGGAACCTTCCCCACAGGGCCATTTACAGGAACTTTTACGGGGAGATTAAAAAAACTGAAAGACCACAACAACCGGAGCGGTTACAACCGTAAAATAAACAAATGGGTTTGCCGTAATGAGTTTTGCTAAAGCAGCCGAGTGGTCCTGCTGCAGTGGAGACACGCTCACTGAGAGGATCCTGTAGAAGGTCCACCTCGCTGCTTTTACCAGGAACTCCTGCTGTGGAAACACGGCTAGTAAGGACGTATCAAAACCCATTCTTAACTCCAGAATCCAGTCAATCCAGCTCCAATCCAGTCAATCCAGCTCCAATCCAGTCAATCCAGTCAATCCAGTCCAATCCAGCTCCAATCCAGCTCCAATCCAGCTCCAATCCAGTCAATCCAGCTCCAATCCAGTCAATCCAGCTCCAATCCACTCAATCCAGCTCCAATCCACTCAATCCAGTCAATCCAGCTCCAATCCACTCAATCCAGCTCCAATCCACTCAATCCAGCTCCAATCCAGTCAATCCAGCTCCAATCCAGCTCCAATCCACTCAATCCAGCTCCAATCCACTCAATCCACTCAATCCACTCAATCCAGCTCCAATCCACTCAATCCAGCTCCAATCCACTCAATCCAGCTCCAATCCACTCAATCCAGGTCCAATCCAGCTCCAATCCAGGTCCAATCCAGCTCCAATCCACTCAATCCAGCTCCAATCCACTCAATCCAGCTCCAATCCAGCTCCAATCCACTCAATCCACTCAATCCAGCTCCAATCCACTCAATCCAGCTCCAATCCAGCTCCAATCCACTCAATCCAGCTCCAATCCAGCTCCAATCCACTCAATCCAGCTCCAATCCACTCAATCCACTCAATCCACTCAATCCAGCTCCAATCCACTCAATCCAGCTCCAATCCACTCAATCCAGCTCCAATCCACTCAATCCAGCTCCAATCCACTCAATCCAGCTCCAATCCACTCAATCCAGCTCCAATCCACTCAATCCAGCTCCAATCCAGCTCCAATCCAGCTCCAATCCAGCTCCAATCCAGCTCCAATCCACTTAATCCAGCTCCAATCCACTTAATCCAGCTCCAATCCACTCAATCCAGCTCCAATCCACTCAATCCAGCTCCAATCCACTCAATCCAGCTCCAATCCAATCCAGCTCCAATCCAGCTCCAATCCAGCTCCAATCCACTTAATCCAGCTCCAATCCACTTAATCCAGCTCCAATCCACTCAATCCAGCTCCAATCCACCCAATCCAGCTCCAATCCAGTCAATCCAGCTCCAATCCAGCTCCAATCCACTCAATCCAGCTCCAATCCACTCAATCCATCTCCAATCCAGCTCCAATCCAGCTCCAATCCAGCTCCAATCCAGCTCCAATCCACTCAATCCAGCTCCAATCCAGTCAATCCAGCTCCAATCCAGTCAATCCAGCTCCAATCCAGCTCCAATCCACTCAATCCACTCAATCCAGCTCCAATCCACTCAATCCAGCTCCAATCCAGCTCCAATCCACTCAATCCAGCTCCAATCCAGCTCCAATCCAGCTCCAATCCAGCTCCAATCCAGCTCCAATTCACTCAATCCAGCTCCAATCCACTCAATCCAGCTCCAATCCAGCTCCAATCCAGCTCCAATCCACTCAATCCAGCTCCAATCCACTCAATCCAGCTCCAATCCACTCAATCCAGCTCCAATCCAGCTCCAATCCAGCTCCAATCCAGCTCCAATCCACTCAATCCAGCTCCAATCCACTCAATCCAGCTCCAATCCACTCAATCCAGCTCCAATCCACTCAATCCAGCTCCAATCCAGCTCCAATCCACTCAATCCAGCTCCAATCCAGCTCCAATCCAGCTCCAATCCACTCAATCCAGCTCCAATCCACTCAATCCAGCTCCAATCCAGCTCCAATCCAGCTCCAATCCAGCTCCAATCCAGTCAATCCAGCTCCAATCCACTCAATCCAGCTCCAATCCACTCAATCCAGCTCCAATCCAGTCAATCCAGCTCCAATCCAGCTCCAATCCAGCTCCAATCCAGCTCAATCCACTCAATCCAGCTCCAATCCAGTCAATCCAGCTCCAATCCAGCTCCAATCCACTCAATCCAGCTCCAATCCAGCTCCAATCCAGCTCCAATCCAGCTCCAAGCCAGCTCCAAGCCAGCTCCAATCCAGCTCCAATCCAGTCAATCCAGTCAATCCAGTCAATCCAGCGGCCCTCTCGCTAAAAGGTTTGATCAGCCCTTAGTTAGAACAAATGCTGTTTGTATCGGTCTCTTCAAGTCTCTCATTTTGCTTTCTGTTGTACCTGTGTGTGAGAGTTGTACCTGTGTGTGTGTGTTGTACCTGTGTGTGAGAGTTGTACCTGTGTGTGTGAGTTGTACCTGTGTTTGTGAGTTGTACCTGTGTGTGTGAGTTGTACCTGTGTGTGTGAGTTGTACCTGTGGGTGTGAGTTGTACCTGTGTGTGGGAGTTGTACCTGTGTGTGAGAGTTGTACCTGTGTGTGTGTGTTGTACCTGTGTGTGAGAGTTGTACCTGTGTGTGTGAGTTGTACCTGTGTTTGTGAGTTGTACCTGTGTGTGTGAGTTGTACCTGTGTGTGTGAGTTGTACCTGTGTGTGAGAGTTGTACCTGTGTGTGAGAGTTGTACCTGTAGTTGCAGGGCCTCTGTCCACATGAACCGTCCACAAAATGATCCAGGATGATGCCCATGATGGGAGCAGAGCGGTGGAACTGTCTGCAGACACACACACACACAGACACACACACACACACACACACACACAGAGACACACACACACAGACACACACACAGACACACACACACACACACAGACACACACAGACACAGACACACACAGACACACACGTTTTTGTTACCTGGTGGGTCATTTTGACAGGGCCGTTCAGAATGGGACCCATAGACATAATCTTTTTTTACTGGGACTACTTTAAGTAATACAAAACAGTCAATAGAAAACAAACAACTCTTTTAAAGGAATTTTATTTTAGATTTTTTTTCGAATTGCAGTGATTCTATTTTTGACATAGAATTTAATGCCACTCCATGTCCGATGTCTAAGGTCATCTGGTGAGGCATTAATGCAGGCCAGGCCAGGCCAGGCCAGGCAGTGAGACTTCCCAGGGACTTTTCCAGTCTGTATGAAAGGTGTCATGGTCTTCTCCACAGCCTTCACCTCAGATGCAGACCATGGCTTTCTCTAACGTTCTAGGGAGAGAAATAAAAATATATTAGCAATATACACTCCCAGGGTTAGGACCAAGCAGCCTGGCTGTAATCCCCCACCTGGTACACTTACCAGAAGGGGCACTGCCACTACCATGGGGTGCATCTGGATGAATGGTTGAAGGTTCTCCGCTTGAAGTTTCTTTTAGCCCGTCCGTTTGTGAGAGGATCTCTACTGCTCTCCCTGTCGCACAGAAAATAAAAATACAAGTGGCCTTTAGGGGAAAAAAATCATACATATTTTAATAATATCAAGAATTACCTTCAGGCTCAATTTGTATCTGGTCGAGGCTCTTTCCTTCGAATTCCGTCACTCTTCCCTGCTCCATGGCGATCAACACTTTGCTGATTTTGGCCAGCTCCAGTGTCCCCTCTGGTAGTCTGTAATATTGTCTGTGGATGCGAATGTCATGGCCGAGGAAGTTGGCTAGTATGTCCATTTCATTCTCTTTCATATTGAGAACTGTAGACATAGTAGCTATGTGCTTTCTAAGTTTGGTTGAGGATAGCATCTCTGGATGCACCGCACCACATTCTTTGGCTACCTGGCGTAGGGAGTCTGATCCCCTGATGTGGGTGTCTGCGCCCGGGCGGGAAAAGAAGTATGGGTTATGGTCAGAGATGGAACAGGCCCTTCTGTTCTCCACCAGCACCTCCATCGAAGCAATCATTTCAGGAGTCAAAAGAACCGGCACTTTCCGACTTCTTTTCCCTTTAATTTCAATGCGTTGAAAATGCTGACACAGCTTTTTCTCAAGTTCGGACAGTCCCAGAGCAATGTCAGAATGGATCCCAGTCTTACTTCTTAAGGTAAACGCTGTCAGTGGCATCTTTGAAACCTCACCTTCCCTTCTTCGATTGAAAATAATGACCTCACAAAGAGTCAAAACTGCCAGTTTAGACCAATGCTTAGACGTTGGCTCACTTATTAGGGTTTGCACATATTCAGGTCGACATACCTCAATATGTGCATGCATGGCTCTAACGTCCTCAGTCAGAGGGAGCAGGTCCGGAGTGTTCCACTTGGCTTGCCGGAGGGTCTGTAGGGCAGCAGAAGAAACACAGACGTCCCACCTCTTCTCAAAAAGCAGCCGGCTTTGTTGGAGGTTTTTAATAAATAGTTCATCAACACAATGCTCCATTTTTGAGTCACATTCAAGAATATCTGCTAGCTTTCTGAGGCTATGGCCGAGTTTGAGGGCCAAGGATGGAGTCTTGTATTGATTTGTTTCCTCATCATATCCAGCCACAGACCTGACTGCATCAATCACATGGTTAAAGTTGGAAGGAATAAAGAAATCCTTAATTGTTTTCAGTTTCCCTGCGGTTTTTGCTTCGTTAATTAACCTACCGACTTCTCTCATTTTCTGCCTAATGTAATCATGCTTAGTCTTATCATGCCCGTGTTTTAAGTACAGGTGCTCTCCGAGTCTCAGAATCCCCTTTTCTGCTTTGACAACACCCGTGACCTCATCCTGATGCATTGCCGAAATTAAAGACCACAGCTTTTTGCTGATGCCCTCCGGTACAGGCTGGGCTAGGGAGCAGAGGGACTGGACCCTACTTCTACCTGGTTTAGCCTGGGCATCTTTCTGTGAAAGCCGGCACCTGGCCACATGCCTCCACAGCGACTTTCGCTTAAGCAATGCCCCACAGTCTATACAGTGCAAAAACTCACTGGATTTAACTGGGGAATTTGGCTGTTTAGCTGGGACTAAAGTTCCAATGCCGGCCTTTAAAACCTCAAAATTGTGCTCACGGTTTCCACTATTCCTGATCAAATCAAACTGAAGTTTACGTGCTTTAGATTTCACAGGTAGAGCCAATGCTCTGGCTACGTCACTTTCATTTCCATGTTTTCTAGTCAAATGACGGGACATTTTGTGGCAGGACATTGAACAGTAGAGGCAGAAGTGTCTCTTGCTATAAACTCGCCCCCCATTTTTCTTCTTTTGCAGCTGCATGATAACAATCTTATTTGCCTTTGGTTCGTCACTTTCCGAGTCTTGAAGAAAAGTGTTTTTGATTTGTCTTTTTCCATACTTTTTTACAGGTTTCTTCTTGACAGTTAAATCGTCAGAATCTGAGTCGACTTCATCAATTAGGGACTCTTGACTAAGCTGCACAAACAACAAATAATTTGTAATAATTCTATATAACAATTTGAAGTCATGGCTTGTAGTCAGCACTTACCAGTGGTTTGTAAGCGTGCGCTTCAGTGTGCTGCTCTGTGATTGGCTGCAGCCTAATGAACCACACACTTGCACCTTTTCTAGCCTGACACCTGATTTCCTCTGTTGTGCTGCTCCATGATTGGCTCCAGCCTGCTGGACTGAAATTGCCCCAGTGTGCCCCTCCCTGATATTCCGCAACCCACCACCAGGGTTCCAACACATAACACACTTTTTTCAGGAAAGTAAACCTCCAGGGGTCCTTTCCATATTTTTACAGAGACTGCATAAGGACCGTTAGAAAAGCATTACCCATTGATTATTAAGCTTGGACCAGTGGGGTCCGGTGTTCGGGCCCCACCACGTAAAACCAGTCCCCATGACGTGAGTGGAATCTCAGGTTATGGAACCCACTAGGAGTTGAAAACAAGTGCACGCACGCACGCACGCACGCACACACGCACACACACACACACACACTTTACTCATCGCTACACACAGGTTTTCATCACTAAGCTTTATTTTACACTCATAGCTCATATTAAGACACATACCTTTTTTTTTTTTAAATAGATGGTCTATTTGATATTTTTTCCACACAGAATACAATTATTAAGATATTGTTGGATATTTCAAGCTTTCAAAGGTAATGATTACACTTATTTTTCATGACTTCCTCAGAAGTCATTTCTTAGTTTATTTAAAAAAATAAAAAATGTCTATGCTCAAATGTAGACGCTTTGCGTGTATACTTTCAGCCATACAATACAATACAATACAATTTATTCTTGTATAGCCCTAGGTCACAACAGAAGTCATCTCAGAGACTTAACAAAACCATTGAAATCACCAACACAGGTCAGAGAATCAACAGTTAAAACACATGAAGAATATAAAGCACACACAGAAGAAAATGTCCATACATGTTGTAGAATGCTAAAGTGTCCTGATCATCACCAATCCTTTCTGTTGGACACTAACTGTCCAACAAGACCCTCCTGCATCGACAAGGAAAAACTCTTAAAAAACCCAGTGGGAAAACGTGAGAAACCTTGGGGAGAACTAGGGAAACCCACAGGGAGGGAGACCCATATGAGAAAGGGATCCGCTCCTCCGGACGGACAGGCTAATGATCTAGGACCTAAGCTAGCTACAGAACGTGGACCAGTGGCCGCTGAACGTGGACAGGTCCGGTGCAGGACTGAAGCACTCCCAGGCGGGTCGGGCGGGGCAGTCCGCAGGTGTAGATGGAAGAGGCCAGGCTCAGAGATCCCGTCATCGTACCATGAAACAGACAATGGGACAACGGGTGAATAGCAATGAACAAACTACAGTCAGAATCCTAAAAGTGCTAAACAGATAAAGTAGGAAGGAGGAGAGGATAGTGCTCAAGTTACCATACTTCTCCCAGCAAACTGACTCCCTATGCAGCTTGACTGACACTCTGAGGAGTTTAGCCTTCCCTGAGTCTTACCTTCCTAACCATATGCTAAACTAAAGAGGACTGTTTTAAACCTAGCCTTGAATAAAGAGATTAATGGATTGCACACCAGGTGTGCAAACCGATCCAAGCAAACCTAATTATATATTATATATCATATACATCACATATACCATACATACCATATATATCACATATAATACACAACATAACATACAGCATAATATATAACATAATATACAACATAACACAATACATTATTGAATAATATATAACATAATACAGCATATATATATAATATATACACCACATATTATATATTACCTAATTATATGCTAAATTAAAGTAAAGTGCTTTAAGCCTGGCCTTGAATGTGGAGACCGTATCTGCTTCCTTAACATAAATGGGAAGCTGATTCCACAGTAAAGGAGCTTGGTAGCTAAATGCTCTGCCACCAACAGTGACCTTTGAGACCTTAGGGACCACCAGACGTCTGGCGTTTTGTGAGCGCAACGCTCGACTTGGTTGATACGACACTAACGTGTCTTGGAGATAAGAGGGAGCCAAGCCATTTATGGCTTTATATGTTAAGAGTAGGATTTTAAACTTTATTCTGTACTCCACAGGGAGCCAGTGGAGTGATTTTAACACCGGTGTTATGTGCTCCCTCCTTTTGGTACCTGTTAAGATCCTAGCTGCTGTATTCTGAACGAGCTGGAAGCTCTTCAAAGAGGCTTTAGGGCACGCTGCCAGTAAAGCGTTACAGTAGTCGAGCCTTGAGGTGACAAACGCGTGAATGAGTTTTTCCGCGTCACTTTTAGGAAGGAAATTCCTAATTTTAGCGATGTTCCGTAAGTGGAAGTACGCCGTTTTAGTTGCTTGGCTTATATAAGCCTTGAAGGAGAGTTCTTGGTCAAAAATGACTCCAAGATTCCTCACAGTGTTACTGGGTATTATACTGACATTATCGAGAGTAATTATCTGGTTAGTGAGGGTGTCACGCAGGCGCTTCGGACCGAGTAGGATCACTTCTGTCTTCTCCGGGTTGAGAAGTAGGAAGTTAAGAGTCATCCACATTTTAAGGTCCTTTATGCAGGCACTGAGCTTTTCTAGCTGATCTGTCTGATTAGGCTTCATCGACAGATAAAGCTGTGTGTCATCTGCATAGCAGTGGAAATTAATTCCATGCTTTTTAATAATGTTTCCCAATGGCAGCATGTAGAGAGTAAAAAGAATCGGTCCAAGTACCGAACCCTGCGGCACACCGAATTCCACTCCAGAATAAGGTGACGAGTTCTGATTTACGTTGACGAAGTGATACCGATCTGATAAATAGGATTTAAACCAGCCAAGGGCTGTTCCTCTAGGACCTATATCACATTCTAGCCTCTGCAGTAGAATGCTGTGGTCTATTGTGTCAAATGCAGCACTAAGGTCCAGTAGGACCAGCACTGACACTTGTCCATTATCAGCAGCTAGTAGTAAGTCATTTGTGACTTTGACTAGTGCCGTTTCAGTGCTATGATGAGCTCTGAATCCTGATTGAAAGACTTCAAACATATTATTTTCCTGCAGGTGGCAGCAAAGCTGCTCAGCTATAAGTTTTTCCAGGATTTTAGATATAAAAGTGAGGTTTGAGATCGGTCTGTAGTTTGTAAGTATTTCTGGGTCCAGGTTTGTTTTCTTCAGAAGGGGTTTGATTACCGCGGTTTTAAAAGCTTGTGGGACATAGCCACATTGTATGGATGCGTTTATTATATTTACGATAGGCTCAATTATCAAAGGAAGTATGTCTTTGAAGAGCCATGTCGGGACTGCGTCTAACATGCAAGTTGAGGCTTTTGAGGATGTGACCACAGAGATCACCTCTGCTTGGCTCACAGCCATGAATTTATCGAGGCCCACTGAAGAGTCTAAGTGGGAAGTCACGTATGCCGCTTCAACCTGTCCACTACCAACAGCAGGAGTAACCTCCTCCAGTTTGTCACGGATGGATGTAATTTTATTATTAAAGAAGTGGAGAAAGTCGACACTGCTCAGTGAGCTTGGAATTTTAGGCTCGATTGCGCTATGGCAGTTTGTGAGTTTAGCGACGGTGCTAAACAAAAATCTACTGTTATTTTTATTGGCTTCTATTAAAGTTGAATAGTATTGAGTTTGAGCCCTGCGAAGGGCCTTCTTGTAGTTTCGGAGACCTGCTTTCCACTCCCTGTGGATAGGCTCCGAGTGGGAGTGGCGATATAGCCTCTCCAATTTTCTGACGTCCTGTTTTAAAGTGTGGAGTTGAACACTGTACCAGGGCGACGATGATCTAATCCTAATAGTTTTCTGTTTTAAAGGAGCTGCTGCATTTAATGCAGATTTTAAAGACTCCATAGTGTTGTCCACCGTTTGGTCAATGACTGAGGGACTGCAGCAGCTGTGAACAGGTTCACCTGCAGCAGTATTCAACATAGGCTGTATTAGTTCTTTGAACCTTGTGATAGATTTATCATTTAAGGTTCTTTTCATTATGGTTTTATCTTGCGGGACAGGAAAGTCCTCCAAAGCGAAATCAAACGTGATCAAGAAATGGTCAGACAGCAACGAGCTTTGACGTTGGATGTCAACATTGGAGACATCACAGCCGTAGGTCAGGACAAGGTCCAAGGTGTGGTTATGAATGTGAGTAGGTTCCTCGACATTCTGAGTAAAACCAACACCATCTAGTACGGCGCTGAAAGCTTTGTTTAAGCTGTCAGTGCTGTCGTCCACATGTATATTGAAGTCTCCAGTTATAACTATGTTTTCCCATTCCAAAACTAGGTTTGAAATGAAGTCAGAGAATTCTGTTAGGAACTCGCTGTAAGGACCAGGAGGTCGGTATAAAACTATAAATAGTACTGCTTTTTGTTTTCTCCACCCAGGACAGGTGATTGAAAGTGTTAAGTTTTCAAACGAGTGAAAAGCGTTGTTGGTTTTGGGACTAAGAACCAAGTTGGTGTGTGATATAATCGCAACACCACCGCCGCGACCTGTAGTTCTCGCTTTCTGGTAGTTAACATGCGTCGGAGGAGTGCACTCATTCAATCTAACGTAGTCGTCCTGTTGGAGCCAAGTCTCCGAGAGCGCAAACAAATCCAAGCCCTTGTCTATAATAAGTTCGTTTATGAGAAGCGATTTAGACGAGATTGATCTGACGTTCATTAAACCACATTTAACAACCCTACTGTTAGAACTATTTCTGTCTGTCTGAACTTTTATTAAGTTACTGTGTCTGACACCTAGGTCAGATTTCCTCGCATATAGTGCTTTAGACTTCAAGCGAGGAACACACACAGTTTCAATCTGACTAGCTTCTGAGGCTAGTAACTGAACAGATGGGGGCTCAGAGGTTGTGGCAGAGCAGCTCTGCACCCGGGCCTCAGTTCTGCATCGTCATTTGAGCCGGGCAGAACAGTTTAGAGCCAGGGCCAAATTCTTAGCCAAAAGGGATGTACCCGCCAACGTTGGGTGGATATCATCCGAGCGGATGAGACCGGGCTTTCCCCAAAAGGCACTCCAATTGTCAACATGAACAACACCACTTTGAAGGCACCAGAGAGACAGCCAGCGGTTGAAAGCCGAGTGTCTGCTGAATGCTTCTGCACTGCTAGTGCTAGGTAGGGGCCCAGAGAAGATGACAGTGTCGGCCATTGTGCTAGCCAGCTTGCACACGGCGGCGACTTGCAGCTTCAACACCTCGGACTGTTTCCGCCGAACGTCATTACCACCCGCGTGAATAACAATTCGACGGAAACGCTGCTTGTGGGTCATCATGAGCCTCAGATTCCCTTCAATATCACCAAGCCTGGTCCCAGGGAAGCACCGAACAGTGGCTCCTGGGATCTTAACACCTCTAACAATAGAGGAGCCAATTACCAGCGCATCAGCGACTCCATCGGCTCTCTCAGCAGCTCTCTCAGCGGCTCTCTCAGTGGGGCCTTCTTCCCCGCCCGGCCGCGCGGGGGCGCAGCCGGACAGAGCGTCCCAGCGATTGTAAATGCTAACAGGAGGAGGCCCAATGGGGAAACTACCAACAACACGTCGCCCTCTCCGAACAGTCACAAAGCCATCACTATCCTGGTCTTGTCCCAGCTGCGGAGGACGCGCTGGGAGGCTAGGCTCGCTAGTTCTCCTCTGCCTTTCCCTAAAGCTGCGCTCCGCTGTCCCTGAGGATACGGCCTGGCTGTAGCTAATGCTAGCGCTAGCTCGAGACTCCAGTGCTCGGAGACGCAGCTCTAACTCACTGACCCTGGATTCCAGAGCTACGACTACACTACACTTCACACATCTATCACTACCCCCAGAGAAGGATCCAGGGTTTAGACTCGCCATATGGCAACTCGAGCAGTAAAGGATTGAGGGAGAGACAGCAGCCGCCATAGGAATAGCAAGCTAGCGGCTAGGCTAAGCTAGTCCGGATCAGGGCCCGCACAACAGACTCCGAGACCAGACAAACAACCGCTACCTAAACCTCAGCTGCAGTACAGCTGACTCGGAGTGCTTACACCGTTAGCTCGGTGTACAATACGTGGATTTGTAATGTGTTTGTTAGTGCAAACAGAGAGCAGAGTGATAGTAGTCAAGAAACACGCTCACCGGATACAGGAAGTCCTGTATCCGGCCATTGGCTGATATGTCCCATTCTCATCCTTGCATACACCAGGCACATTCAGACATAAAAGCCAGACCTCTTCTTTCAGGAGTACCGCGCCTGTAACCTGGAGTCCTGTCCGGAGGTGCGCAGGAACACGCCATGGACGCCCTGGATCCCGGTGAACGTGTCCCAGGACGGAGCACGGCTGGAGCAGAGGAGCCGCTACACCTGCCGCGCCCTGCTCCCCCAGCCACAGCTGCTGCAGGCGGGAAAGAGGAAGACCGAGACACGCTACTGTCCCAACGATGGATCTGGGGCCTGTCAGACCGACGGTGAGCGACGGTTAAACACAGCCTGCTTTTAGAAGATAGGTACCATAGCTTTAAATTGAATGTATTCATAGTCAATAGAAAAAACAACTTCTCAACACTTCCCCAAACTTATAGACAAATAAATTGAATTTAATCGAATTGCTCAGTTGGTAGAGCATTGGCCTTTGGGCTGGAAGGTCGTGGGTTCGAGCCGATCTCGGGGCCTACTCCAACTGCTCCCACTAATGTCTGCTGTTGTTGTGTCCTTGGGCAAGACACTTAACCTCACATTGCCTGAAGCTCACGCTGAAACACCAAGGCTGTGGCACCACCATGTAGCGCCATCTTCCTGTGGACCCACCCCCTGCAGAGGATCAGAGGGACTGGGGCTATGAGCATTGGGTAGCAGCTCTCATTGCCACCCCCCTGACCCAGAAATGGACAATAAAGGGGTAGAAATGAGATGACTAATTGAATTGAAAAACTTAGCTCACTATTAAATTAAATTCAAGTTAAAGCTAACTGTTTGTGTTGCTCAAATAGTATTAGGTAATGCATGGTACAGTTCATACACAAAGCAACTGAACAAGCTTAACAAAATAAGAAACATTAAAACCATAAACAGTACAGATTCAACTTTCAGTTTTATGCACTGCTAAACAGAACTGCTTTGAACATTGTCAGAGAAGAAGCTTGTCTCACATTTTTAGGAAGTAAGTAAGTAATCTTTATTTATATACCGCCTTTCACAGACCAGAGTCACAAAGTTACAATTGTGGGCATTTGTCTCTCACTCCACACAGAGATGGGAGCGGGGTCAGTGCAGAAGGCGCATGTCAGACTTATTGGTAGGAGAAACCAGAGCACCCGGAGGAAACCTACGCAGACACATGCAAACTCCACATAGAAAGGCCCTATTACGACCGAGATTCAAACCCATGTCCTTCTTGCTGAGAAGTGAGAGTGCTATTCACCAACAGTAAGACTGTTAGAAGATTTTGGCTGCACAAATCTGTAATGCTGTAGTGCTGACACCAGCAGGAGGCCAGTCCCTGTGCTCCTCAGAGTCCCAACAGGAGGCCAGTCCCTGTGCTCCTCAGAGTCCCAACAGGAGGCCAGTCCCTGTGCTCCTCAGAGTCCCAACAGGAGGCCAGTCCCTGTGCTCCTCAGAGTCCCAGCAGGAGGCCAGTCCCTGTGCTCCTCAGAGTCCCAGCAGGAGGCCAGTCCCTGTGCTCCTCAGAGTCCCAGCAGGAGGCCAGTCCCTGTGCTCCTCAGAGTCCCAACAGGAGGCCAGTCCCTGTGCTCCTCAGAGTCCCAACAGGAGGCCAGTCCCTGTGCTCCTCAGAGTCCCAACAGGAGGCCAGTCCCTGTGCTCCTCAGAGTCCCAGCAGGAGGCCAGTCCCTGTGCTCCTCAGAGTCCCAGCAGGAGGCCAGTCCCTGTGCTCCTCAGAGTCCCAACAGGAGGCCAGTCCCTGTGCTCCTCAGAGTTCCAACAGGAGGCCAGTCCCTGTGCTCCTCAGAGTCCCAGCAGGAGTCCCTGTGCTCCTCAGAGTCCCAGCAGGAAGCCAGTCCCTGTGCTCCTCAGAGTCCCATAGAATTGAGTGTCCCCGATTAAGACTGTTACAACAACCGTACAGCGCACAGGAGGAGAGCCTTTTGACTCCAAAACAGACTTCACATGCTTACACTGCTGCTCATGCGCCCCCTACTGGCCAGTTAAATGAAACCCAAGAATTGTTGTACTAATAAATGGAAGTTTGAAGGTTCTCAAGGACCATGGTATAATTGACTCTAACCATAAACCATGCTGGTCTAATGTGTATACGTGGTCTCAGCTCTGGTGGAGGACCTGGTGAAGTCCAGTGGCCGGTCCCCTCTGGTGCCTCAGGGAGCTCGCTGGGGATTGTGGGAAACGTGGTCATCGTGCTCTCGCTCCTGCTCCAGAGGCTTCAGGACTCGCAAGCGCCTCTGCTCCACCCCCCAGGGCCGAACCACCCCCTCAGCCTGTGTGGGGTCCCCTGTGGAGTACCAGGACTGTGGACTGCAGCCCTGTCCAGGTAATCTAGATACCACTACTGCTGCTGCTACTACTACTACTGCTACTGCTGCTACTGCTACCACTACTACTGCTACTGCTGCTACTGCTACTACTGCTACTACTACTACTGCTACTACTACTGCTACTACTACTACTACTACTGCTACCACTACTACTACTACTACTGCTACTACTGCTACTGCTACTACTACTACTGCTACTGCTACTGCTACTACTACTACTACTACTGCTACTGCTGCTACTGCTACTACTACTACTACTACTACTGCTACCACTACTACTGCTACTACTGCTACTGCTACTGCTACTACTACTGCTACTGCTACTACTACTACTACTACTACTACTACTACTGCTACTACTACTACTACTACTGCTACTGCTACTGCTACTACTACTACTACTACTGCTACCACTACTACTGCTACTACTGCTACTGCTACCACTACTACTGCTACTACTGCTACTGCTACTACTACTACTGCTACTGCTACTGCTACTACTACTACTACTACTGCTACCACTACTACTGCTACTACTACTACTGCTACTGCTACTGCTACTGCTACTACTACTACTACTACTGCTACCACTACTACTGCTACTGCTACTACTACTACTGGCACTACTATGACTATTACTTCTGCTGCTGTGATTACTAACGCTACAACTTTGTATATTATTACGTTTTAATCTAAAAAGTGACTGAGGCTGAGGCTGTATGTAAAACTGTAGGTCCTTTTTTACCGCATTACTATGAACCTCAAAGGAAGTACAAGGAAATACAGTCTCACCCTTCTCTGACTGCAGTGAACGGTGGGTGGTCTTGCTGGTCGGCCTGGTCCCCCTGCTCCTCGTCCTGTGGAGGAGGACACTTCCAGAGAACCAGGGCCTGTTCAGACCCGGCTCCTGCCCAGGGTGGAGACATCTGCATTGGCCTTCACACCGAGGAGGCCCTCTGCAACACTCACGGCTGCGAAGGTACACACTGCTGACTGCTGAGATGAGAGCTGACTGGCTGTGGGAGGGCTTTTTCATTTTTCTGTCTGAAAAAGCTGTGATAGAAGCAAACTGTTTTGAGAGATTGGGACTAGTGACATGGGGTTTAATACCAGAGAGACTAGAGACTTTTTCTGAGAAAGGCTGATAACTTTCTCTAGTTAAATTTTTTTTAGAGTTGACTACTACTGCTACTAATATGTGAAAATTATTATTATTGTTATTTGAACAGTAATGAATTCTGCTCAGAAGGAGAGGGCTGATACAAACATCTCTGCCTCCCTCTGCAGGCTGGCACGAGTGGACCGACTGGGGAGACTGCGACGAAAACGGTCTCCAGTTCAGGACCAGGAGCTGCGGAGACTCTGGACTGTGTTTGAACAATGTGTCTGAGTCCAGGACCTGCAAACCTCACGAAGTCCCAGGTACAGCTGCACTGTAAAAAAAAAACTAAAACTAAAAAACCCCGTAGATTTTACGGTAAAATTCTGGAAACTTTGTAGACTTTGTATATGTAAATAAATGTAAAGTATTTTAAAGCACAGCAGGATCACATTAAAAATCTGCTAAGTCAACAAAACTTTATTGATAATTTTTGTGGATTGATTTGTAATGTGGAAGGTTCCAGAATACAGCGGGTGAATTCATGTGTTCAATGTAGTTTTGCTGTTGATTTAGCACATTTGCAGTCTAGTGTCACTTACGGTTTTTTCTGTTGTTATTACTTTGATCTGATGTTTTTGTGAGTAAATTTGATCATCATCACATATAACAGAAGGATTTAAGAAGAAAAAAAGTTCAGGGAGACTGAAATCCCCACAAAATCCGATCTTTATGAAAGCTGTAGGTTCTCTGTCAGGTTCTCTGTCAGGTTCTCTGTAGGTTCTCTGTAGGTTCTCTGTCAGCTGAGGTCGAGCTGTTTTAGTTTACATTGAGTTCTTTGGGACTTTTTTCGTGTAGCCCTCGTGAATTTAGTCTGCAGTACCACAGCGCCCCCTGTGGCCATGGGTGGTGTTGTGTGTTGTGATAATAAGAGAACTCAGAGAAAGGGTCAACTTTGAGTTTAATATGGCAGTAACAGTACAGTATGTAACCTATGAAAGTGCGTCACTTATAAACAAACATTTGCATGGGATAAACAATAACCATGTCCTAATCACAATACTTCGGATTTGGTTTGCTGACCCGACCTGATCGGGTTCTGTATAGATTTTCAGTCGTAATCACAGTTGGATTAGAATCTGATATTGGGTCTACTGGGCGCTCAGAGTCCATTCCCTGCTGTGTCTGTCCTGTGTCAGGCCTAATGTCCTGATTAAAATCGTGTGCCATTAACTGAGTTGGAGCCGGCTCAGCAACATGTAAGATGTGTTTTCGGTTCCTCCTGTATGTTTGTCCTTCAGACTGGATCAAGTACGATCTCGGCTCAACGCACATCTCTTTGACTATTCCGGTGCGGTCATATCCTTTTGGTGTTTGCAGTCTGACCACCTGTCCTTCCGACAAAGGCTTAAGAGCCCTGCTTGTCTTGTCATAATACACCTTTTGTGTCAGTCTTTTATTCAGAAGCTGTTCGCGCACTTCCTCAGGATTGAGCATTTTGGGAGCAAGCAGCTCTTTGGACACTGGAAGAGTGGAGCGTGTTTGCCTAGACATAAGTCTTTGTGCTGGAGATCCAAGTTTAGAGTCTCTAGGTACGTTCCTTAAGTTCAGCAGGCAGAGAAACACATCTGTTTTGTCCCTATGTGATTTCTCCATGAGGTTCTTAGCACTACGGACGGCTCTCTCTGCTAGTCCATTCGATTGAGGATACTCTGGGCTGCTAGTAACATGAGCAAAGTCCCATTGAGCTGCAAAGTCCTTAAAGCACTGACTTGTGAACTGTCGTCCATTATCTGTGATCAGAGTGTGAGGGGCTCCATGGACCGAGAAGTGCCTTTTTAGTTTGCAGATCACATTAGCCGACGTGATGTTGTTTAACAGGTCGATCTCGAACCAGCCCGAGAAGGAATCCACAAGCACCAGATTCTGCTGGCCGTGCCATTCAAAGATGTCAGCAGCTACAGTCGACCAAGGGAGCTCAGGAATGGTGTGCAGGAGCAACGGCTCTTTTTGCTGATGTGGTTTAGTGCTATTACACACCGAGCATGCCTGAACCTCGTTATCAATGTCCATTGTCATTGTAGGCCAAAACACAATGCCTCTCGCCCTCCGTTTTGTAGCTTCCGAGCCAGGGTGGCCCCTATGTACAATGTCAATGTATGTCTTCTGTAATGAATGTGGAATTACAGTTTTCTGACCCTTCATAACAATACCATCCTCAACAGCAAGCTCATCTCTAAAGGGAAAGAAAGGATGCATTGCAGAAGGGAGATTGTGTAGTTTACTTGGCCAGCCATGTCTGATGACGCCGCTGAGGGTCTGGAGAGTCCGATCAATGGCTGTGTGTTCTCGCAGTTCCTGTAAACGAGCAGATGACACATAGCTGACAGTCATTACATAAAAATCATCCACCTCGTCTTCAAGTTGTGCCGTGGAGCTTGTGGGAGCCCTGGACAAAGTGTCAGCCAGGTGCATTTGTTTGCCGCTTTTGTAGATTAACTCAATGCTGTACTTCTGGAGCCGCAGCATCATCCTCTGCAGCCTGGCCGGAGCAGTATGAATGGGCTTTTTGATGATTGTGACAAGCGGTTGATGATCAGTTTCAACGGTGATAGATTTGCCATAAATGTAATCATGAAACTTTGAACATGCAAAAACAACAGCTAATAGCTCTTTTTCTATTTGCGCATAACGCGTTTCGGTATCGCTTAAAGTGCGTGAGGCATAAGCCACAGGTCTGCCACCCTGCAGGCACGCAGCACCAAGTCCATATTGCGAGGCATCACAGGTAAGTGTAACATTCTTCCACACATCATAATACGATAGAACGGGAGGATTTGACATGTGCCCTTTAAGGGTGTCAAACGCGCGCTGATGCTGTTCATGCCACGACCATTCAGTGTCTTTGTGTGTTAATTGTCTCAGTGGAGCAGAGGTCTCACTGAAATTAGGGATGAATTTCCCGAGGTAATTAACCATACCGAGAAACCTTTGCACAGCCGGCACATCCGCTGGCACTGGCATGTCACTGATCGCCTTTGTTTTCGTGGGGTCTGCCTTCAGACCGTGTGCAGTGAAAACATGTCCAACATAACTGACTTGGTTGAGCCTGAATTTGCACTTTGAAGGGTTGAGCCTTAGATTAACCTCTCTCGCTCTGTCAAGTACCTTTTTTAGGTTTGCATCATGCTCCTCAATGTCCTTGCCTCCAATCAGTATGTCGTCCACAATGATGGCGCAGGGGTAACCAGCAAAGATCTGCTCCATGGAGCGTTGAAATACCTCACTGGCAGAACTTATCCCAAACGGCATTCGGAGGAATCTGTAACGACCAAAGCATGTGCTAAAAGTAGTTAGCATAGATGATTTGTGGTCCAGTGATATCTGCCAAAATGAGCTCTTTGCATCCAATACTGAGAACACTGTGGCATTAGACATTTGTGATGCGACATCATCTACTGTGCGCATCGGGTGGTGTGGTCTTTTAAGGGCCGCGTTAAGGTCCTTTGGATTTATGCAGATCCGTATTTCTTGTTTGTCCTTCTTATTTGTGGCGACCATGGAAGATACCCAGTCTGTGGGTTCTGATACTGGTTTAATGACCTCTAGTTCTTGCATTCTGTCCAATTCGTTTTTTACTCTGTCTTTCATCGCCACAGGAATGCGGTGTGCTGAGCGAACTACAGGTCTCACCTCAGGATCCAGCGTCATTGAGTAAGTAACTGGTAGCTTTCCCAGTTCATCTGCAAAAAGATCACTGTACTTTGTTTTAATCTGTTGAGTGAAATCATTAGTTATTGCAGAGCTACTCACTTGGTGAACTTCCTTGCTGAGTGAGACGAGATCCATCTGTAAGGAAGCGTTGAGACCAAGCAATGGCTGTACATGCTCCTCAATAACGAAGAATGGCAGGGTGTAGCACTTAGCCCCTAGGTGGCAGCACAGGTCAACGATTCCCTCAGTCTTTATCTTACTGCCTCCATATGCAACCAGGTTCGTTGGTTTAGTGCATGGTTTGATTTGTTCAAATTTTTTCACCTTGAGAAACGTCTTTGTTGAGAGGACATTACATTTGGCACCAGTGTCCACTTTCATCTCGATGGTTTTATCATTAATCCGCAACGTTGTGAAAGCTTCCTCCTTTTCGTTTGTTTGTGCTACAGTAGAGTCCACCGCCAGGTCCAGTGTAATGCCATTCACATAATATGTGTTACTGTCACTGTCACTCTCCTCTTTGTGTTCAGTATACACCTGGTGGACCGATTTCTCTTGTCTAAGCCTGTCGTACTGAGGTCTGGACCTGCAACACTTTTTGAAGTGGTTCATTCTCTTACAACCGTTGCACTGTTGGCCATATGCTGGACATTTAATCCTTGCAGCTGAATGACTCCCACCACAATTGTTGCAGTTGTTAATTAACTGTGTGGGTTTTGCGTTTGATCTGTCGAACCTCTCAGTGTTGCGTCTTTTTGTGTAGTTGTTTTGTACTGCATCTACATTCGTGGCTGAGCTTTGTGGCGACATGAGCGATTTATTGTGCTCCTCAGTCATCTCATGAATCTGGCACACTGAAATGGCTTTAGCGAGTGTTAAATCACTGTCACGAAGCAAAACTTTCCTAAGGTGGTCGTTGTTTATGCCACAGACCAGTCTGTCTCTGACAAGTTCCTCACGAAGCTCACCAAAATTACAGCTCTTCGCTTTTATTCTCAAATCACTCACATATGACTCAACTGTTTCACCAGCCTTTTGATTTCGTGTATTGAACTTGTGTCTCTCCATCGTTATGTTGGTTTGGGGGTTACACATTTCCCTGAACTTTCTTTTAAGGCATTCTGGGTCCTCCTTGGATTCAGCGGGAGCCAGGACACGTCCATCGTCGCCAGGTTCACGTACCTCCGCTGCATAGACAAAAGAGCGCTCCCTCTCGATTACTTCAGGGCCTGCTAGATTCAGGAGAATGTAGGCTCTTGTCCGTGCAGACTTGTCTGAATGAGCTGCCGCGACGAAAATGTCGTATTCTTGCTCAAAAACGCGCCAGTTCTCCGCAATGTTGCCATCAAACACCAGCGGGTCGGGACGTCTGAAGCAGTCTGCCATGATGCTGAAAAAATTTGCGTTGTAGCACGATGGTCCCGCAAAAAATACTCACAACACGTTGTTTTACACTCCTATTTCAAAATCCAAGACTTCTGACACCATGTTGTGTGTTGTGATAATAAGAGAACTCAGAGAAAGGGTCAACTTTGAGTTTAATAACACACCGGCAGTAAGAACACACTCTGGTATATCTCGGTGCTCTCATAGCTAATTCGCCTCTAGCCCCCACCACTGCGCATGTGTAGACACGAGTATGGTAGCTGTGATAGGTCACACTAGCAGCACTCTACAGGTGGGACAGCTTTAAGCTAGTAAGGCCCTGTCCACACGAAGTCAAGCTCAGGCCTAAACGCAAAAATACTTTATCAATCCAGTGTATCGTCCATACGAGGCCTGCGTTTTGGGGGGGTGTAAACGAACATTTTTGAAAGTAGGTCCCAGAGTGGAAAGATTTCAAAACTCCGTATATGCCGCTCCGTGGTTACTGCCTCTCCGCAATGTATCTGAGACGCTTGCGTCATCGCCCCGCCTCTTGTTAAAGCACGCATGCGCCGCACTCAGAAAATAATGACAAAAACAATGTCCCAGTCTACACTTTCTTGTAGCTTGTTGGTTTTGTAATCCAGTGTGACCCGAAGCAACAGTTCAACCTCATCGTCCGTCCATACTAATGTAGTACCAGCTCGCCCACTCGCCATGTTGTCTGTTTACAAAATTCTGCGCATGCCCAGTTCCCGTCACGGAAGTTTGGGCTTGATCCCGTCATTGCGTCACAGCGCCACCAACAGGTCTGGCATAGTTTCACAGCGTTTTCAGGCGTATTGACTACATTCATATGGACGCACACATTTACTGAGCTAACTCCGTGTTTACAGAAAAAGTTTCTGAAATTATAAGCGTTTTGTCTTTACGCTTTTATGTATGTGTTCATCGCACTGTTTCTCTCCAAACTGGGGTCAGCTCCAATTTTCCCACATGACTCTTTTTGTTCTTCGATATATTCTCATTAGAAAGCAAACATGAAGCAGTTCTTCCTCATTGACAATGAAAGCAAATGTTCCAGTCCATTCTTCCCTGAATTCTCGGTCCTTTTCAACTATTTCCCTTTTTAGCTTCGGGAATTATGTGGACTCATGTGGCACATGCCGGTTTGTTTACAACAGCGGCCGCCCGGCGCAGGGCTGCCTTCCGCGCGTCGCAGGATATGACGCAAATCTCAGTTGACAGAAATGTTGAAATTGAATATTTCATATGCACATTTTTACTACATTGGAAAAGGTTAAGAATGTTGTCCCTCCTACAGAAACCACATTGAAACCAGAAATAAAAAATACCCCTCCCACATTTTTGAAGAGACTCCTGGAGCCACTCGACGGGCACTAAAGAGCCGCATGCAGCTCCAGAGCCGCGGGTTGCCGGCTCCTGATCTATTTAAATCAGATTTAATACGACATGACAATCCTAACCCTGATTTTGACCTTTGCATGTTCAGGCCAAATCTTGAAATGTAAAATGAATTCTCTACTGTTAAAGCAGATTCTGGGATGAGCTGGTGCCGGTTATAGGGTTCAGAAATGTCCCTTCTGTGATATGAGAGAAATGTCTTCTTCTAAATAAAATAGAATAGTACAACTTTATTCTCCCAGATGGAATTTGTCCAAATAATCTTGTCACAAATATACATTTAGGAAAAAACCATAATAAATACATTCCAGAAAGATACATTTGAGAAGGACAGTGTTGCTTTGTCTTTTGAGCTCAATAATTTAAAACTGTAGATGTTGGTGTGAACTTGAGATGGTTAGATCCACAGTTTGACGCACAGCCTTCTCCCCGTTGGTAGCACAGTACTTTGATGACAGTGGCTGCTCCTTTCTACAACCTCCC